TTGTCACGTAATTCCAAAGTATGTACTGGTTCTAGTAGCGTTGTTAGGGTGTATGAATCTTCTGTTGCCAACCATCTTGTTCAGAATAGTGATTGTCGTTCTAGTTATGCTGATGATTGCTTTTCTGTTTGGTCTCGTTCACGTAGTCAAAGGTATTTGCGTGTATTGGAGTCTATCTACATTTTCACCTCCAAGCCGATTTTGTGCAGGCAGAAAAAGAATTTGTTTACGTTGAAATTGTTTGTGAATTTAGATCAGTAGTTCTCGTTTGTGGTTGCATGGTAACTTTCTAGTGGTGAATTTATCGCATCTGTTGTCACCTGATATCGTTGAATGGTGTAATGTTTCTTTCAGCTCTCATTTTATCGCGCTAGTTAGGGTCTAAATTATTACTTGCATTGTGCGTATATATATTGAGTTAAGAGCTATTGTTGATTTGCCAGTAATCCTCTGATGAGATGGCGACGAAAACGTTTAGGAACAAGCTTCTTTATTTACATGAAAACAAGTTTTGCTTATGGTGTTTGTACTGAGTGCGCAGCTTACTCTATTTATTGCGTTGATTACATTTTTATCTCCACGGAAGCTTTTTAACTATTATTATTATTATTATTATTATTATTCAAAGGATCAGTCGGGGAAGTGAACTGCCTGAAAAGAGAAAAATCCGCCAGACCCACCAGGACTCGAACCCGGGACCCTGCTTGTCATGAGCAATGCTCTAACCACTGAGCTATGGGACCAGGCTGAACCTAGAAGGCGCTGACAAGTCTTTCACTCCAAAGGCAGCTCACAACACGTGCCACACATACTGATGGCACTTGGGTCTTTTTCCCTCCCCCAGGGGACCAACCACGGTCAGTTTCTGGAAACTACCAGAGGTGAAAGAAAGTGATTAAATTTGGAAAGGATTGTCAGCGCCTTCTAGGTTCAGCCTGGTCCCATAGCTCAGTGGTTAGAGCATTGCTCATGACAAGCAGGGTCCCGGGTTCGAGTCCTGGTGGGTCTGGCGGATTTTTCTCTTTTCAGGCAGTTCACTTCCCCGACTGATCCTTTGAATTTGAAGTTCTCCCAATCCTTTCCAAATTATTATTATTATTATTATTATGCACTTACGCGTCAATGTCAGCGGTGGTAAACCGCCCACAAATTCGCACGTGCTGAATGGACTTGGGAATTGGGAAATGAAAAATAAAAATAAAAAGAGCAACGACAACAGAAATAGAAATACAATACAAGACGTACCTGCTAAGGGGCACATGACAGCATTGCTCAGATTGAACAGAGGACGCAGACACAGGATAAAGGGCATTGTCGACTCCGTTTTGAGAATAATCCAGTAAAATGGTGGCAGGTGGATGCAAACCCACGCACTACGTTAAGAGAGGAATTTTGTTGGTATTTAAAAAAGATGTTTTTAAATTATTATTACCGCAGCAGTTATGAAAAGCAGTACTGTGATATTTCGGAGCAATATTATTTGGTTTTAGTCGTAGACGCCACTATTGGACTTGCAGACGTCCTTGCAAAGGTCCTTCCACTCCCCTCTGCCCTGTGCAATCTCCCGGAGGAAGAGGAGATCAGACAACGTCTTGAGTCCTCTCCGCCCCACCCTCTGCAGGTCACGGGATAGCACGATAGGCAGAGTCGTTCTTGGCCGTCCTCTCCACACTGTTTCCTTCACCTGGTAATAGTTAATCATAGCTGCCACAGCAGGACATCCGTCTGGCATGCGCAGTATATGGCCATAGAGTCTCCATCTGGCTAGGCGAACAAAGTTAGATATCGGATGTGCTTTGCACCTCTTGTAGAGAGCAGCATTGCTTATTGTTTGTGGCCACCTAATACCGATGAGACTACGCAACTGCCTGCGGTGAAACGAATCCAGTTGGGCCTCGGCCACTGAAGTGGGTGCCCAGGTGCCGCTGTTGTACAGTAAGACTGGCATCACGGTATTACTACTTCAAGTATTAGGAAAGGGAAAAGAATTCGGGTGGACACACCCATTCCCATAGCGCTGCATATCACATCCGAACCAGTTCCGTTATTTTTACAACGTTTCGGCACTTGGCCATCGTCAGGTAATAACAATGAATACCGTGGAAGCCACACAAGAGCAGTATATACGCAGAGTGTAGCGCCAAAAAAGATGCGAATTATGTCACCTAGTATGACAGAGAGAGAGAAAAGGCGCAACTAGCACATCACGGTGGAGAAGCAGCAGAAGGTAGCGCGCATTGTGCTCTGTGAATGGCGTTACGCAGAGTGTAGCGCCAAAAAATAAAATGATGCGAGTTATGTCACCTCTATACAGAGGGGGGGGGGAGAGAAGGTGCAACTGTGCACATCACGGAGAAGAAGAGCGCGCCGTTGTGCTCTACGAAGTGAGGTTACATGCCAAATAATTATGGTGTTAATTCTAGCACAGGAGGGGAGCACGGAGCCCCATGAGTCAATGCACTATGAGGTTAAACTTCCATGCCAAACTGTAACCACCAGGGACGCGACGAGGCATCAGGAATAGAATGGATTTGAGTGACCCGCCTCATATTATAATTATTCAGTGATATTGAAGTAGCAGCAGGGGAAGCTGAGAAAATTCACAACAAATCCCATCCGGTGCTTATGTTCACATGGGGCTTGGCATCACGAATCTCAATTGCCTCGCGCAGTTTGCGACGGGCTCGATCAGGCTCTCTTCCTATTACTTCAACTGCAGAGAATGCACTTTGCCCATAGTTAAGCTTACATCCACTCACCCTGGATGTAAGCTTAACTATGGGCAAAGTGCATTCTCTGCAGTTGAAGTAATAGGAAGAGAGCCTGATCGAGCCCGTCGCAAACTGCGCGAGGCAATTGAGATTCGTGATGCCAAGCCCCATGTGAACATAAGCACCGGATGGGATTTGTTGTGAATTTTCTCAGCTTCCCCTGCTGCTACTTCAATATCACTGAATAATTATAATATGAGGCGGGTCACTCAAATCCATTCTATTCCTGATGCCTCGTCGCGTCCCTGGTGGTAACAGTTTGGCATGGAAGTTTAACCTCATAGTGCATTGACTCATGGGGCTCCGTGCTCCCCTCCTGTGCTAGAATTAACACCATAATTATTTGGCATGTAACCTCACTTGGTAGAGCACAACGGCGCGCTCTTCTTCTCCGTGATGTGCACAGTTGCACCTTCTCTCCCCCCCCCCCCCCCCCCTCTGTATAGAGGTGACATAACTCGCATCATTTTATTTTTTGGCGCTACACTCTGCGTAACGCCATTCACAGAGCACAATGCGCGCTACCTTCTGCTGCTTCTCCTCCGTGATGTGCTAGTTGCGCCTTTTCTCTCTCTCTGTCATACTAGGTGACATAATTCGCATCTTTTTTGGCGCTACACTCTGCGTATATACTGCTCTTGTGTGGCTTCCACGGTATTCATTGTTATTACCTGACGATGGCCAAGTGCCGAAACGTTGTAAAAATAACGGAACTGGTTCGGATGTGATATGCAGCGCTATGGGAATGGGTGTGTCCACCCGAATTCTTTTCACAGATGAAGCTGCAGGAAGCCTCAGCCCTTCTTCAAATTAGGAAAGGGAATCCTACATTGGTGGCAGCGGTAAACCGCTGCTCTCGATCTCGTTTCCTGAGCTGTGGATCGTCTCCGAAGAAGCCTTGACACTCTGGACCACGCAAGTCACCCATTCTACCTCGGAGATGTCGTAGATTTACGTGTCTTCTTTCTGAAACTACTAGTACTAGTAACTTCAATGATGACTGTCGTCTCTTGCTGTTCGCTCTTTTATGTGCATGACAATTAGAGTGCCTGCTTGTTGATTGCTTCAGTGTTTGCCTGTCTTTGCAACATCGCGCGGCGCCTGCCTGTCTACATTTTGTTTGTTTTCTGTTCGTGCATGCACTACATCAATATACGTGTACGTAACTAGGTTGTACATGTGTACTTGTACAGTCTGCCACGTGAACTTTGGAACAGCGTGCGTACGCGGCGTTCCATTTTTGCTGTTGAAAAAAAAGCGTACTCTGTGTTTACCGCCTTCGGTTTCGTGCCCGTGCGGCCGCGCGGCTCAGCTAGCTAGCTCAACATTTTTTGTGCCTTGGAAATTTTTTTGGTGGATTCAAATTTTTGAATTTTTTTCAACGATGAAAAAGGCTCGGAAGGCACGAAAGAGAGAAGAGATGAGTTTTCATGATATCAACAGATATTCAGCAGCAAGCAGCACACCACACGACGAACGACTACCCTCACCACCACAGTCGCCAGCAGGACGAGCAAGTTCAAGTAAATTCTCACATGCTCAAGCCGCCACCACCTCCTTGCCCAAACCGATCTTGCTCCCAGACACGTTTGGCAGTCAACCTGGACAAGATTTTGTAAATTATATGAGCCACTCTGATAACGCATGTGCCCTGTCAGGCTACACCCATGAACAATGTTTGCGCCTGTTGCCGGCGCGTCTGGTTGGTGTGCCACACGAGATGTTGACGGACGTCGTCGCCAACTCGCCCAACATCACCTATCGCGAGTGTAATAGTCACACACTATCTCTCTCCCAACTACCCCCGCACACAACCTCGTTGCAGACCAGCCAACACACACGGCTCTGGGTTGTAATGAATAGTTACGATAAAGGCTTAGACTAAAGTTAGAGTAAAGAGCAAAAACGCCAACCGGCAACACCTTGATCAAACCATCAAGAACCTCATGTCTCTCCCAACTGCAACTACTAGAACCACTTGTCACGCATGCAAGCTTAGCATTGTCAACATTATTGGCGCGCGCGCAAGCGCGCCCATGCGCACGGTAAACCGTATTTGGCGCGCAATAACGTCATGCTAGGAGGTAATGAACTAATGATCATTCATGACACAGACAAGTAAACATGCATGAGAATGTCCACACAGCGAGGAACAACAGCACACAGCACACTGAGATGTCACCTCAGGACAGTCACATTGATTATTACACCCCTCCCCCAGGTGACATTTCAGTCAGCATAACGGGATGGCATGACCAGTCGCCCACGGTCACGGAATGTGTATTGGTGGCGAGCGGAGTCATCTGCCACATCGAGCTCCTCCAGTGCTTCACCTACAGGGATCCGAGGAGCTGGCTTGATGTGGTCCACATTGACGACTTTCTCCCTTTGCCCAGATGCAATGACCACCGTAGAAGGCCTGATAACTTTCTTGATCACCCAGCCAGGCTCGTACGGAGAGAACAACTTCTGGCTGCGGTCGGGACGACGAAGCATGACGGCATCATCCGGGTGGTAGAGCTGAGGCTGATCATGCTCATCATCAACACCATCGTGGACAGATAGCTCCATCTCGATCAGGTCACGGATGCGAGCAGCGCTGTCACCGAGCCGACTGACCCACTGGCTCATCTCGCAGGCAGGTTGGTCCTTTGCCACAATTAGGTCACGTGGTTGCCAGGCTGTCTTCGCCATCATCGGTGTCAGCCTGGTGGTTGAATGGGGTCTATTCCTGTAATAGTACAGGAGAAGGTCGAGCTCCGACCGCCAGTCGTCGGCAGTGTCCAGAACCTTCCGCATCATCGTGAGCAGTGTGCGGTTCATCCGCTCCACGGCACCCTGTGACTGTGGGTGGCGTACCGCACCAGTCTTGGCTATCACGTGGAACTGACTCCACAGGGCATTGACCACAGTATTCTGAAATTCGGTGCCATTGTCGACGCGTACGACATCCGGAGGACCCCAGCGACAACATATCGCCAAGAATGCGTCGGCCACGGATTGGGCATCATGGCATCGCAACGGTACGACTTCGGCCCATTTGGTGAAGCCATCAACACACACCAACACACAATGGAAGCGGCCACTCTTCTCCGGCCCAAGTTCCAGAGTGTCGAGATGCACCACGCTCCAGGGCCGCCCAGGAATGTCGCGACGGGTAGAAGCAACTGACGCACCAGCACGATGACTAGCAGCACAGCATTGAGGACAGTCACGACAATACCGGCGGCACTTGTCAGCCATGGAGATAAAGAAATAGCGGCTACGCAGCATGGCATGCATGGTACTAGAGTTGCCATGACCGCTGAGCCCATGAACCAAACTGAGCAGGACTGGCTCCAGATCCTGTGAAACAACTGGAACCACCGCCTCACCTTCCACGGGCAACTTCACAGACCGGCACAGCACGTCATCCCGAAGCAGCAGCTGATCACGCACCTGTCGAAAGGACGGGTGCGACACTGGCAGGTCGGCCTTGATTTCTCCAACCACGGTGGAGATGACCTGGCAGGAACGCTGAGCCTCTTGAATGTGCTCCGTCGTGAGCGGACCCAGGCCCTGCCGGTCAGTAGTGGCAGCAGCAGCAGCAACATCGACACAAACAGCATCCGTCCCTTTGAACAGCTTTACCCAGGACGATGGGATCCGCGACAACCGATCTGCAAGGTTCTTGGCCGACGGAACCCACAGCACGTCCACCGTCATATCCGTTGTTGCAAGGAGATTGTCGATGATTTCCAGCCGACGTTGAATCAGCGTTGCATTCAACCCACTCGTTTTGATGCGCTGCAGGTCGTGAACAGTCTGCTGCAACCAGCTGGCCACTGTCTTCGAATCTGTAGCGACTTGAATTCGCGTGGCACCCCAGTCATGAGCGAGATTGAGGCCCTTCACGACAGCCTCGAGTTCCGCCACATTGATGTGCTTGTGATCAGTACGGGGCCACAACCGCGATGCGTCTTCAATCACCTGACCGTCAATCTCCAACACGACACCGAGAACTATGTCTGAGGCATCACACCACACGGGCCACTGGCTATCTGGAGAGGAAGATACCTTCCAAGCACCACGGACGGGATCCTCCGTGTCGAGCCTCGCTGCGAGCTCTTTACAGCATGCCTCGACTGCTGGTGAAACTGGCACGTCCCAGTTCTCTCCTGTGCATGACATCCTCTTCAACGCGCTGCAGGCCGGACGAAGCCAGGAACACACTGGATAGTGACCAGTTGCATGTCCACACCAGCTGAACAGACTACGCTTGGTCAGTGGCTTAGGCACAGCAAGATCAACGCCACTGCGTCTTGACCACTGGAGTCTGCCCGACGATGACGACATCTGCAGACCCAGGACCCTGGCACTCGGCAGAGGCTCAGACGGCTTGGTGTCTAGCCCATAGCGACGCAAGTCGGTGGCGACATCATCTGCTTCAACCTGCGGCGTCAATATATCGTCAATGTAGTTATCCACGTTGGAGTGGTGCCGCAGAATCCACTGAACAATGATGTCCATAAATTTGGGCGCTATAGCTAACCCAAAAGCCATACGTGTGACGGTGTAGAGTTGGCTCTTCCAGATCACTGTCTGATAGCACACCAGCTCTGGCTCGACATGAATCTGCATGTACGCCTTCCGAATATCCAGCAGTACAGATGACTCGTCGCTGACCATGCGCCACTTCCGCAAGGTCTCCTGACATGACGGAGAGTTCTGACCAGGCTCCGAGACAATGAGCTCGTTGAGGCGCCGGTAGTCTAAGCATGGTTGGACGGGAGTAGTCTCCTTGTGCTCCTGAGCCACCGCCAAAACCGGCAAGACACCTGCCATGTCGCCGTGCACAGACTCATCATATGGCTGAAGCCAGCCCTTGGTGATCCACTGGTCCACCCCCTGGCAAAATAGCTTCTCCTGATGGGCAGTCAATTGAGCACGCGAGTACTCACCAATGGGTGGGCCAACTGGCGATGTCGGAGGTGTGCCTGATGCCCATTTCCATGACAGAAACCACTGGCCACGAGAAGCATCCCAGCGTATTGATCCATCCGAACAACTCAGAGTAACGTCATCACCGCTACGCGTAACCTTGACATGCCGGTATGGATGGGGATCGTGAACTGGAGCATCACCCGTACTCTTTGGCACACCGCCTGCCGAGTTGCTTCCAAATGTTACTGATGAAAGTAGGCCATCACTGTACTGCAACTGAACACCACCAGATGCGGCAACGACATCTGCACCAAGTAGAAGTGGGGCATTGACCACATCCAGCGTCGCGACGACGGATGCTACTACTGATACGACCGGCAAGTGAACAGGACCATCATTGCGTCGTAGCTGAAGTTCAATACTGCCAAGCACATCCAGGGGCTGGCCATCCAATGCCAACGGAGCAGCACAGTGATCGGAGGAGAATGACAATCTATGCTGCTTGAGAAATGCTGCAGACACAAATGTACGACTGGCACCAGTGTCAATAACTGCCGTGCAACGCATCCAGTCGCCATCAGCCGCATGGACATCGACATAAATCGTCGGCAACTGCATGGGTTGTGCCACAGGTGCACACAACACTCGGTCTGGGGTGGCTTTGCTAGTGGGCGATGTGGGCTGAACACTAGCCTCTCCCACGGCAGCAACAGCATTCTTCTGACTGTCAATCCATTTGCGCTTCATGGGGCAGTCCATGATGATATGGCCCTTCTCCTCACAGAAATGACACTTTACACCAGACGATTGCTGACCCTTCTGCCGGCGGTTTGGACACTCGCGCTTCACATGTCCAACAGTTTTACAGTGAAAGCAGACAACTGACCTGGCACTGCTACTCACACCAACTCGAGATTGGTCACCACCAGGTAAGCCCAGTAGAAACTGTTCAATAATCACGGGATCCTGGTCATCATTACCGCCGCTGCGGTGACCCAAAATGGCAAGCAGGCGCTCCAAATCCGCAGCATAGGCGTCCGGCGACTCGTCCATCCTCAACCGACGGCGCACGAAACTTTGGTATGCTTGGGCCGGTGTCATTGCAAATGCCGATAACATCTTCTCGCGCACCTTATCTTCGACTTTTTGTCCGCGTCCGACATCTTGGTGAAAACAAGAAACGCATCTTGATCCAGAAACAAGGGCAGATGCTTCATGCGTTTAGTCTCATCGTCCCAACCCTGAACACTCGCGAGCACCAAGAATTTGTTGTGGAACACCTCCCAACTATCCTGGCCAGGAAAGGGACGAACGAAATTATCGCCTTTGAACAACATACCGGAATATGTAGCAGTAGCCGCTGCACCTCCACCGGAATTACGTCCCACAACACGACGTCGTCGTCGTCGCGGCATACACCAGAACAACTCTACGATAGTCACTAGCCGGGTTTCGGTACCATAAGCTGTAATAGTCACACACTATCTCTCTCCCAACTACCCCCGCACACAACCCCGTTGCAGACCAGCCAACACACACGGCTCTGGGTTGTAATGAATAGTTACGATAAAGGCTTAGACTGAAGTTAGAGTAAAGAGCAAAAACGCCAACCGGCAACACCTTGATCAAACCATCAAGAACCTCATGTCTCTCCCAACTGCAACTACTAGAACCACTTGTCACGCATGCAAGCTTAGCATTGTCAACATTATTGGCGCGCGCGCAAGCGCGCCCATGCGCACGGTAAACCGTATTTGGCGCGCAATAACGTCATGCTAGGAGGTAATGAACGAATGATCATTCATGACACAGACAAGTAAACATGCATGAGAATGTCCACACAGCGAGGAACAACAGCACACAGCACACTGAGATGTCACCTCAGGACAGTCACATTGATTATTACACGAGGCAGTCGAAGCGCTGCGCGCGAGACTGGAACCTCCGCAACTGGCCCTTATGCACGAGGCGACGCTCCGACCGAGAGTGATGTTGGCCACTGAAACCCAGTATGCATTCGGGCAGGAGCTGCGACGTCTGGCACGCCAGGCTTAACCCGGGCAGAGTGGGCCGCTCCTGGACTCAATGCTGCTCCACTTGTTCATCGACGGCCAGGCAACGAAAGACCTGCGTCTGGCACTTGCATCTCCACGGCCTACGTCGTTGGATGCAGCTGTCCAAAAGGCGATTGAGGTGGGTGCCATCCACGCCCACGAACAATCCCGATCGGGATACGCTCAGCCAGTGTTTGCAACAGCTCCGCAACACCAACAACATTCGACTCCCGCGCCCAGTCGACCCAGGCACTCGGAGTACAGCCCCATCCGGCCGCGCGTTGCCACGGAGAATCAAAATGGCGACCAGGAACGCACGGAACGTGATCGCCTGGGCGGCATCCTTGAAAATTTTGATGTCGCTTTCACGAACGGTTTTGTCAGACAACAGCAAGGACGGCTGCGGGGTGGCCGTGGTCGTGGCCGTTTCGGACGCGGAGGTTTGCGAGGAGCACTGCAGCCCGACTGCGCGTGCTATGGCTGCGGAGAAGTTGGCCACTTCCTCGCTTATTGTCCTCATATGAATCGAAAAAACGACGATTGACTGGTGACGCGGGGCAGCAGCCAGTCGAGGAGAACGAGCCCCTTAATTTGCATGATGTCTGTGTGAATGCTATTTCGCCCATTGTCTTGCATGTAGATGTATGTTTCCGGACTGCAACAATGTCTGGATTAATCGACTCGGGCTCAAGTGTATCGCTGTTGCGCGCAAATTTGTTCACTTCGTTGTTTGAATCTGAGCAAACACTCGAGTCTGCTCCGCGTTTATGTGCGGTGAACGAAGAACAGTTGCCTGTGTTGGGATCTGTAGAGCTTGCATTCCGCCTGGGCAACTGCTCATTTGTGCACTCCTTTGTGTTGTCAGATGCCATCCACAAAGATGTCATTCTTGGATCAGATTTCCTCTTTGAGCATGGTGGTGTGCTGGATGTTGCCCAAGGAATGTTGACGTTTGGCGAGGAGTCTGTGTCTGTGTGCGTTAGTGGCCCACGACATGTTCCCTCACAGACACTGTGTGCTACGAAGCCATTGTCTGACACCAGCGACACTGAGCCGAAACATAAAAATCATGAAAACAATCATGCAAAATCCAATCATCCTCAAAATATTCATCATATAAATCTACATGCATCATCCTCATCTGGTCTGTCTGACGATTCATTGTCTGCACGGGTTGTTGAGCCCATGGCTCAGCCTGGCGTTGTCCCTGCGTGTGCGCCCGAAAGTGTGGCCGACCCTGTGGTATACTCATCTCGTGTGGTGTTTGAGATGGAGTTGCCGGTACCTGCAGGACATGTTGTCTTGGTGCCTTGTGCAGCTGTTGATGTGTGCACGGTTGAGATGGATTGCGTGGCAGATCCATTGGAGTCCTTTATGGCGAAGCATCCAGATGTGGCAGTGACTCCTAGTCTTGTCACTGTTGGCCCTAACCAAACACGTGTGGTTGTGGCTGTTAAAAATCATGCAAATCATCCTATACTCATTCATAAAAATACCAATGTTGCCGAACTTCATCAAATTCCTACAGATTGTGAACATATTGACGACACTGAAGCTATGGTTTCCTCAGTTTCACCAAGTATGATCCCGCTAACTGAGCAACGCAAGAAAGTCATGGATGAATATATCAACGCACAAAATCATCTCTCCACAGAACCGTCTCGCAAGCTCACTGAACTACTTCATGATAACCACAATTTATTTATCTTGCATGATGATGAATATGGCTACTGTGACATATTCCCTCATAAAATTAACACTGGACAAAATAACCCTATAAAACAACCTACCAGGCGGATTCCATATCACCGCCGGAAGGCTCTGCAAGATCTACTGATAACGCTGTTGAAGCAAGGCATAATACAAGAATCGATTAGTCCGTGGGGATCATCCATAGTATTGGTCCCAAAGAAGGATGGCTCTCTTCGACTCTGTATCGACTACAGGAAGTTGAACTCTGTCACCGAGCCTGATGCTTACCCGATTCCCCGGGCAGATGACATGCTTGATTTCCTGTCTGGCCGTCGGTATTTCACGTCCCTTGACTTAGCGTCAGGGTACTGGCAAATAGCAATGGAAGGAAGCGACAAGGCTAAGACGGCATTTACCACGCCACTGGGCTTGTTTGAGTTTAATGTTGTGCCGATGGGCTGCAGGAATGGCCCAGCGACATTTCAGCGCGTTATGGAAGCAGTCCTGTGTGGCTTATGCTACACACCGCCTCAGCCATTCTGCCGTGCGTTCTTTGATGATGTCCTGAATGCCAGCGAAACGCTGTCTGGCCAACTCCAGATTCTGCTGCCCGTGTTCGCGCGAGTTCGGTCTGCTGGGCTGCGGTTTAATCTGAAGAAATGCTCCTTCTTCCAGGAGGAGGTCACTTTCTTAGGACACCGCGTGTCAGCGGAGGGCATCTGCCCGGATGAGGCCAAACTCATCGCGGTCAGGAACTGGAAGACTCCGAAATCGATCACAGCTGTCCGCGAGTTTCTTGGCTTCGCTGTATATTATCGCCGCTTCATCCGTGGGTTCGCCCAGCGTGCTGCTCCGCTGACTGCTCTGACAGGCAAGAATGCTCGCTTTGCGTGGTCGAAAGCTTGCGAAGCGGCGTTCAAGGCGCTGAAGCGGTCGCTTGCCAGTGCGCCGGTGATGGCGTTCCCCCAGTTTGAAGATTCAGCGGGTGCATTCATTCTGGACACCGATGCGAGCAATGTGTCGATTGGTGCGGTCCTCAGCTGGATCCAGGATGGAACTGAGCGACCAATCGCGTATGGCAGCCGTGTACTGACGAAAGCTGAGCGCAACTACGATGCTAGCGATTGTGAGGCCCTTGCGCTCGTCTATTTTGCGGAGTATTTTAGGCAATACTTGTTGGCACGACCATTTGGTGCCAGACGGACAATACTGCGTTGACTGCACTCCGGAACCTGAAGGAACCCCGCGGACGGAAAGAACGTTGGCTTGACTGTTTATCCGAATATGAATTCCGAGTTGTCCACCCTCCAGGTCGCCAACATCTGTTGTTGTTGTTTTTTATTTGAATTCGCAATACCAAACGGGCAATAAGCCCAATAACATGGAAGCGAATAAAAAAATGCTCAGAATGAGGCATTGGGGTGAATATTATTTCAAGTGGAAATACTGATCCCGGGAGGTACTACAAATACTTCGAAGTAGGTACAATGAAAATCTGAAAAGGCCATGGTACTGTCGTTTACCATGCTGGCAGCAGCTACATGTAGAAGGAAAAACAACAAGAAAGACGTTTTATCTCATGTATTTGACAAACAGAGCTAACAGGAAAAGACCGTTCATTATATGCCATTAGATGCTGCCCCGGCTCCGCCGCCGCGAGATGCTGCACCAGCTACATCCAGTGCTGTCACCGTTGAGCTGGATGATCTAGCATCATAGCTGATGCTCAAGGCTCTGATCCGGAGCTATCCACAGTCTGGTCATGGTATGACGCGGCTAGTGGCAAGTTCGTTCGCTCTCCGGAAGATGACATTTCTGGTGTTAGTCGAACTGTCAAGATTATCTGGTCACAGATTTATCAGTTGTCTTTGCGTGATTCCGTCTTGTATGCACTGCCTCCTTTTGCGGATCATGACCATGTTGGTAAGTCACCCCGTCTGGTCGTACAGTGCGTATCGGTTATAGCGTGGTCGTGTAAAAGAATATACTGCCTACAAGAATGAACCCTCATGTTTTCATAATCATAACATGGATTTCAAGTGCACATTTATTCTTACAAGCAATTTTATCCCATAGTAGAATAGATCGGTCCTAAGAATGGACTTTGTGTAGCGAAACATGCCAGATTGGTACAAAGTGTATCGCCTGTAGTAATAACATCTGTCCAATTCCGTTCTGATGTGACTCTCTTTGCGTCGTAGTGCTGCAGATTCAACTGTTGTGGCCATGTAACTCATTTTGCATAGCCACATATAAGCTTATGGGACTATGACCACCCACATGGACAGAAGTACTGCGTGGCATTGA